GGGGACAAGGACAGGGATGGAGATGGGGACAGATGGGACCATGGCAGGATGGGGACAGGCTGGGGGCCACAAGAGGACAGGGACAGGAATAGGCCAGGGTTGGGGACAGGAAAGGGGACAGGGACCAGCTGGGACAGAGAGTGGGACAGGAGAGGCACAGGGTGGGGACACAACGGGGACAGGGTTGGGAGACAGCAGAGGCCAGCTCAGGACACTCAAGCCCACAACCCAGCACCCACTTTAGGGCAAAACCCCGGGGTTTTGGGCAAACCCTCATTGGGGTTCCTACAGGGCTGGGGAGGGAAACTGAGGCATGGGGTGGGCGGTGGTGGGGAGGGTCCCTCACTGGCGTTGATGAGGACGAGGGCGCTGAAGAGGGCCACCTCGCTCTCCGAGAAGTGCAGAGCGCAGAGGCTCTGGGCGAAGTCGAAGATGGAGCAGATGAGCTCGTGGCAGCCTGGGGGAAGCCCTTGTCACAGCGTGTCCCCCTGTGTCCCCTCCGTGTCCCCCCCCTCCATGTCCCCAGCCCTACCCAGGGATCGGAACAGCTCGGCGCCGGCGTACTTGCCCTCGAAGAAGACAGTCCGGTTGTCGGAGTTGAAGGCTCGGCACATCCGCACCAGCACCACCTCCATGGCGCCTGCCACCACCCGGCAGCGGGACGGGGACAGGGATGGTGGCACCAGGGACAACAGGGCTCCATGGTGGCACTGCTCAGGGCTGGGTCAGTGCCCCCACAGCACCAGCCCTGGGGGCTGTCACCTCTCCAGTGGGGTTGGGGTGGCCCTTGGTGACCGTCACCTCCCTGGTGTGACCCATGGGACTGTGACCTCCCTCATGGCACCAGAGCAGCCCATAGGGACTGCCACCCCCTGATGGGCCCACACCATCCCTTGGGGACCGCCACCCCCCCTCCATGGGGCCACAGCATCCTCTAGGGACTGTCACCTCCCTGATGGGACCAGAGCATCCTATTGTCTGGGAACACTGGGACTGGGGAGATGGGGGCAGCAGGGACTGTGGGGCTGGGGACTGGGGGGACGGGGTGGCCCCGGGGCTGGGGATGAGGGGACGAGGTGGCCCCGTACCCGCTTTGAGGAGGACGATCTGGTCATTCTGGCAGAGGTCCATGAAGCCGTGCAGGCGCTTGGCGAACTCCACCACATACTGGATGGCCTCGGTGATGCGCCCGGCGCAGCGCTGCCACATCTCCTCCATTGACTGCAGGACCGGCCGTCACCCCCACCACAGAGCCCCCACCAAACCCCCGAGAACGTCCCCATTGCTCTGCACCATGCCGGAGCTCTGGGTGCCCTGGGGACTGCAACATCCCCTCCCCTGTGCCCCCACCCTGCTGGCCTCACCTTCTTCTGGTAGGCGCAGACCTCCTCACGGGAGAAGGTGTCCCAGCGCCGGAGCTGCAGGTCCTCGGCACGGAGCTGGCACGTCTCCCGGTACGACTTGAGGACGTTCTGGGTGAGGTGCTCTGCGGGGGACGGGGGCTTGGGGATGGGGACAGGGCAGGCAGCCCTTGCCCAAGTCCCCAACGGGCAAGGTCCCACCACCATCCAGCACCCGTGGGTGACAGACCCAGCCCCCACGGGCACGTGGCACCCAGCAACTCACCGATCTCCACACCAGAGGATGTGGGTGACTCCAGGAGGCTGCCGACATCGGGGTGGGGGTAGAAGTCGGGGCCGGCCCTGTCCCTGTCCCCGTCCCCATCCGGGCCCCGTTTGGTCCCCTCCAGCCGCCCCGGCTCCACCTCCGCCATGGCACCAGCCCTGCCCTCCGTCCCGCCATGGCGGGTGCCAGGGCACCCCGGGGTGCCGGCAGGGGTCAGCGGGTGGCCCCGGCACCCCGCTAGCCCCAGGGGGACGGCAGGTGCCCCCTCGGCCGCCCGCTCCCGCTGCCGCTGCTCCAGCTGCTGCTGCACTTCGGCGTGCAGCCGGTCCCGCTGCTTCTTGGACATGCGGCCGAACTTGACAGCTGCGAGGAGAGGCGGCGTCGGCGGCGCTGGAGGACACGCATGCCACACGCGTGTTTGCGTGTGTACACGTGCACCGGCCTGGCTCCCCGCGACCTACATAACCGTGGCACCGGGGCTTTCCGGCCGCACACGCGTGCCGCTGTGGCCCCCGCCGCCCCGCTTCCTCCGGGCGCACCCACGGCCCCTCCGCTTCCTCCCGGGGACACCGCGGCCCCCTGGGGCGTCCTGCAGTCCCCAGGCAGCCACAGCTCCCACGGGAGCACAGCCGGGTGGGAATGGGGCTGAGGAGGGTGGGTGCGCCCACGTTTGGGGAGGGGGGGTGCACCCAGGTATGGAGGGGGTGCACCCAACTGTGGGGAGGGGGCTGCACCCGTGGCCCAGGGTGGGCACCCACCGTCGCGGGACATGCCAAGGCGCAGGCACTTCTGCAGGCGGCAGTGCTGGCAGCGGTTGCGGCTGGCCCGGTCGATGGGGCAGTTCTGCTGGCGGCTGCAGGCGTAGCTCAGGCTGCTCTGCTGGCTGCGCCGGAAAAAGCCCTGCGCCGGGGGTCACCGCTGTGCCGGCACCCCCTCCCGGCACCCCCCGGCAGCCGCCCCAGCACCCCGGCCCACCTTGCAGCCCTCACAGGTGATGACGCCGTAGTGGATCCCCGAGGATTTGTCCCCGCAGATCTTGCAGGGGATCACCTCGATGTGGGCTGCGGGCGGGAGGGACGGTGTGGGTGCCCGCCCCGAGGGATCCCCCAAGGCTCATGGGCAGCTCACAGCCCTTCCCAGGCTCACGTGGCACCCGTGGGACCGTGTGTGCCACCTGTGTCCTCGCGTGCTCTCCCTGGGCTCCTGTGTCCCCTATGGGCTCACGTGTCCCCTATGGCCTCAGGTGTCCCTCAGGGACTCACAGGTCCCACGTGGGCTCCTGTGCCCCCTATGGGTTCACATCATCCTCTATATGCTCATGTGTCCACCATGGGACCGCGTGTCCCAGACGGGCTCACGTGTCGCCACACGGTCTCACGTGGCCGCTGTGGGCTCACATGTCCCCTGTAAGGCTCACATCCCCCATGGGCTCACATGTCACCCCGTGGGCTCCCATGTCCCCCTGGGTTCCCATGTCACCCCATGGGCTCCTTGAAGACCCTATGGGACCACGTGTCCTCTCTGGGACCATGTCTGCCACCCATGTTCTCACCGGGACTCCATGGGCTTACATGTCCCCCATGGGCATTGGTGTCCCCTACAGACCCCCATGTCACTTAGAGGCTTACATGCCCCCCACCAGCTCACCTGGTCCCTATGGGCTCACGTGTCCCTCAAGGGCTCCCGTGGCCCCTACAGGCTCCCATGCCACCCCATGGGCTCCAATGTCCCCTATGGGCTCAGGTCCCCCCCAGGAGTCCTTGGGTGTCCCCTGGGGCATCCCCCCCATGGCCCCAGTGCAGGGTGGGCCCTGCCGGACGCTGGGGGCTGCCGAAACCACAGCAGCAGCGAGCGCCGGCAAAGCCACAACTGGGACATGGCCCCACCTTGCAGGAAGGCGCCCGCCGCCCTGGCACAGCCCAGCATGGCACCGGCACGGCCCAGCATGGCCCCGTCACGGCGCCGCTGTGCCCACTGGGTGTGCAGGGGGCCATGAGGTGAGGTCACGGGGATGGGGGGCACCAGAGCCATGGGAGCAGGGGACACCGGGGATGGGGACACTGGGGGTGGGGAGGTGGGGGGACACCAGAGCCAGGCAATGGCTGAGCTTGAGGGGACACTGGAGCTGGGGGACACCAGGGTGGGGACACCAGGGTGGGGATACCGCAGCCAGGGGGGACCCCAGCCCCAGAGCCCCCTCCCACCCAGACAGCTCTCATCCCTCCATTGCCACTGGCTTGTCACCCTCTGCCCTGCACACGCTTGTGCACGTACTTGCACGTCTGTGCACCCTTGCACACGCTTGTACGCATTCAGACATGCCTGAGCCCCCTCCTGCCTGCTCACACACTCTTGCACACTCACGTGCACATACGGGCAGACTCCTGCCCCCCACACACGGGGTTGTTGGCGGGGGGTGACACATGCTCATACAAGCTTGGGCACGCGTGGGCACATGCACACACCCTCAGCCATGCACACACACTTGAGCACACTTGCCTGTGCTTGTGCATGTTTGCAAAGGGTTCTGCAAAGCTGCCAAAGATTGCGCACGCTCCTGCAGGCTGCTGCACGCTTCTCCATGCTTGCACACATTCACACATGCTTGCACACATTCATAAATGCTTGTGCACGCTCGTGTGTGCTTGCACATACCAGTGCACACCTGTGCATGCTCATGCATGCTCTTGCATGCTTGGGGATGCTTGCCCAGGCTGGTACACGTCCACCGATGCTCGCACACACTCTCGCATGCTCCCGTGAGCCCTCACACCCTTGCACATGCTCTTGCACGCTTGTGCACGCACGCAGCTGCGCCTTCACGCGCATACACGCATGCACACGCCCGCACACCTCCTCCCCAGGGCTGAATCCGCTTCGTCGGCTTTTTCCACCTGCCCCAGTTTTGGGGCCCAGCGGCCGCCCTCGCATCCGGCGCCGGTGGCCGGGCACCGGGGACCCCTTCGGTGACACCGGCCCGGAGGGGCCCTGGGAATTCGGCGCTTTGAGTCAGCCCCGCGTCCCGGCACCTGCATTAGTCAACGGTGCCGGCGCCGGCGGCTGCCAGGAAGCGCCGCTTTCGGGTGCTGCTCCTGCCGGGAACCAGTGGCGAGAGGTCGACGAGGTCTCGCCCAGCCCCACGCCTCCCCGCCGGCACCCGCCAGCACCCGCCGCTCCCACGGCACCCACCCGCACCTGCGGGCACCCGGGCACCCGCCAGCAACATGGGCATCCAACGGTACCTGTCAGCCCCACCAGCACCCCCCAGTACCTGTCAGCCTCGCTGGCACGTATCAGCCCCATGGGCACCCACCGGTACCCATCAGCCCCACCAGCACTATGGGCACCCACCGGTACCCATCCTCTCCACCAGCACCCACCAGCCCCAGGGGCAACCACCGGCACCCATCAGCTCCACCAGCACCCACCAACAACAACCAGCACCCATCAGCCCCATGGGCACCCACCAGTCCCCATCATTCCCACCAGCGCACACCAGCGCCCACCAGCACGCACCAGTACCCATCAGCCCCACCAGCACCCTTCAGCCCCACAGGGACCCGCTGCCCCCAGGGCACTCACTGGCCCCCACCAGCTCCATGGAAGCCACGGGCACCCATCTGCCCCACGGACACCCATTAGCACCCATCAGCCCCACAGAGACCCACTGGCACCCGTCAGCTCCACAACCAGCCACCAGCACCCATCGGCCCTGGGGACACCCACCAGCACCCATGGGGACCTGCTGGCACCCATCAGCACCCACTGTCCCTGGGGCAGGGGGATGACCCAGCGCTCCCGATCCCCCTCCGGTACAGCGTCATGGCAAAACACGCCATGACGCAGGCAGACACGTCACAGCACAGGCCAACACGCCATGATGCAGAGGGGAAGGAAGGGACCCCAGAGGACCCTGGCCCCAGCACCCCGGAGTGGCGGCGCCCCTGCCTCGGTTTCCCCAGTGCCAAAGTGGGGGGGCTGTGGGTGGGGGCGGCGCAGGAGTGGGGCCACCTGCGTGTCCCCATCCGTGTCCCTGTCGGTGTCACCTGCGCCGGCCCCTTGCAGCTGCCAGCCCCCACCACATCTAAGAGTAAGCACCCGACCCGCAGGTGCATGGGGGCACCCATGGGTGCTGGGGGGCACCCGTGCCCCCAGCCTCAGGCGCTTGCAGCCACAGCTGCGGGTGCGGGGGGAAACAGGGCTGCCCGGCACTGCGGCACCGCCAGGACATGCAGTAACATGCGATAACACGTGTGCATGCCCTGCAACACACATGCACACCCCGCAACACGCGCGCACACCCCACAACATGGGTGCACACCCTGCAACAGGCGTGCATGTCACACTCCACAAACGGACACCCGGAGCCGCACGCACCGTACCACCCTGCAACATGGGTGTGTACGCAGCTACACACCGTAACATCCGTGCACACACAGCACCATGCTGTAACGTGTGCACATGTAGCAACATGCCGTAACACACATGCGCAGCCCCCGTAGTGTGTGCACATGCAGTTCCACAACCCTCATCGCATGTGTGCCCCAAAACATGCCTGCACATGCCACAACACATATGGTCCAGCTGTAACATGTGCCAACATGCTCGTGTGAGCTGTAAAACACATGTGATGCTGACACACGCTGACACACGCTGACACACGCTGACACACACGGCTCCCATGCCCTGGCAGCTCCCAGTGCTCTCACACACACATGCGGGCATGCTCATGTGCACTCTCACACATGTGTCTGCACACATGTGCGTGCTCCCACAGGTGTGCACGGGTACGGTTGCACACATACCTGCCTGCACCCTGCCCCCGCACACACACACACACTCACACACACATGCACACGCAGTCCAACATGTCCCTACCCGCCTGCACAAGCACACAGCCATGCCCACAGGTACACACACACATGCACACCCATGTGCTCCCACACCCTTGCACACACACACAGCTGCTCCCACCTGCTTGCACACACACCATGCCCACACGTCTGCACACATGTGCTCTCACTCTCTTGCACACACACCTGCCCCCTCCTGTACCCTTACACACACCCACGCGTGCTCCCCCCTGCTTGCACACACATGGATCCCCGTGTGCCCCCACGCCCTTGCACACACACTTCTGCCTGCTCCCACCATTTTGCACACCTGCTCTCACACACTCCCACACCCTTGCACA